GGGCCGTGGCCTCCCCGCCGCCCTGGCCTGACTGGCGGACAGCCCTCCACTCACCTCCTGCCGGGCCACGGCGAACGGCGTGGCCGCCTCCATGTGCCGAGGCGTGATCCCGCTGACCGGGGTCCTGTAATCAGTGATCTCCCCCTTAGGCCGGATGAACTTGTCGTAGAGCACGGTGCCATGGAAGTCCACGAGGCTGCAGCGAGCCAAGCCGCTCTGCCGGCTGGGCCCCAGCCCCACCATCTCACAGTCCATGGCCACCACCTCAAAGTTGCTTGCCATGCTTCAGCGGGACCCTCAGACGCGCTGGAGAGGGGAGGCGGTGGGGGGGGGGGCATCACCCAAGGGCCAACCGCGGCCCCAAGTGTCCTTGGCCACCACCCCACCAGCCTGTGCCCTCCGCCCCGTTTGTCACGAACACCACCCAGCAACAGGCAACGCTGGCCTCTTGCCACCCCGCCCGGCTACCCGAGCCCAGCAGTCCCGGGGCCTCGAGACAGACAGGGCCGCCCCCCCATGCCCCCTCCCTGCTCGCCCCCTGCACCGCCCCAGCTCCCACTCACCTGCCTGCCTCCGCTGCCCTTGGCTCACGTCTGCCTGTCTGGTACCACTTCTCTGCTAGTGCAGTCACTCTGAGCTGTGACTCATCTCTGACTTCATGCCGGGAATCCCGACCCTGTTTCAGTTTCTGGTTTGTTATCAGGCGAAGTCAGGGGCGGGAGGCTGGGTACAGGGGCTGGGCCGTTCCGGCTCCTCCGGCTGCCCGCAGACTCCCTGTGCTGGCAGCTCACCTTCGCCCCTGCACCCCACCCCCCACCCCACCAAGGTCTCAGGGCCCTCCCCTTCTCAGATGATGTGGCTGATGAGAATTGAGCAGATTGCCACATCTTCCTTCCCTTTCTCACCCTCCGCCTGCCCAGAGAATAAACATCCCCAGGATCGGAGACCACAGAATGTCCCACAACTTCCGGGGCCACTACCAACCTGACACTCAGGGACGTCTCTTATGGGGGTCGGGGGGGGGGCTGGCTCTTGGGACATTGCGGCTATTAATAGGGAGGGCATGAGAAGGCTGGGTGCGAGTGGGGCTAGCCCACCCCCACCCAGGGAAGGCGAGGGGGCCGGGAGGGAGCCCCTAGAGTCTCCAGGGCTTCGGGGATGTCGCAGAATCCACCATCTGTCTGCTCTCAACGGCTTCTGCCTCCAGCTGGGCTGATACTGTTGGAGGACAAGGACAAGAAAGCCCGGAAGGAGCCCCCACCAGCCTGGCCACACTTCCCAGGGACTACACCACCCCCTCCCAGGCTAGAACTCTGACCTCTTACAACGGTGCCTGACACATAGGGCACTCAGTACTTACTGAATAGAGGAATGAGTTACAGCTGGGACAAAAACAGAACCAGCTTTCAATGAGGAAGGCATCACCACCGACTGCAGTAAGATTCTTGCCTCCGGCCCCAAGTCCACAAGGAGTAAGCTTTGAGCGATGGGATCTGATTGCCCCCAGATGTCACTAAGATTTGTGGCTTGGAAAGGAATTCCCCCAGGTCCCTGGTGTTTTCACCAAGTGACATCTGATGGGAAGAGACCTCAAAAATAAAATCAAGTCCTGAAATATGTCTAAATGTTAAGGCATTGCTCATGTTTGTTGTTCAATTGGTTCGAATTTGAGATACGAGATTATTTTGGGTTCCCATCCTGAATGAGCAACTTTTGCTTGAATTCAGACTGTTTGGGGACTTTTTGTTTCTCAAATGCATAAAGGATTGTGACCCTGATTTAGGGAGATGAAGCAAAATGTGTTACTTGATGTGAATGTGCATTGAAAAAGTAACCCCCTGAAGATCCAATGGTGGGTGAGGTTTCTGCTTCTACAACCCCCCTAGGACCCCACGCATCTCATCCCTTCACCCTGCTGGTCTCCTCAGGTCTCAGACAGAACATATGCCCACCCCTCCTGTTCTTTGGCCCGCATTTCCCCTTTGCCCCGTCCCCACCTGCCCATCAGCTCCCGGGTCTTCCTGCCGCCACCTTCATGCCCTGCTCCACACTGTCCTTCAAATCCGAACAGATTTTCGTTGCCCCACATCTAATCTCTTGCACTGTTTGGGACGGCACTTTGCTCAAGAACCTACAGTGGTTTCCTGTTGTCCAAAAGAGAAAGCAAACCTCAACTCCTGGGCAGTTTCCAAGACCCTGTCACCTGCCCCACCAGCCTTTCCAATCTCATCTTGCATCACCGTTTACACCTAAACCTGAGGTCTTTGTGTATTCACATGGTGCCTCCGCCAGGCAAACCTCCCCCCACCCTACCCCCCATCCTCCCATTCTGGGTCCTAGGGCCAGGAGGGCAGGATCAGGTCTCCACTCATGCTGCAAAGGCCAGCCCATCTCCACGCCTTCACCAGCCCGCCTTCACCACCCCTTCTCATCTCCTTCCACCGCACTGGCTTTGTCTGTTTCAGAGGGCCTGGGCATGTGCTACCCTATCTCAAAAGCTCTGCCTCCAGGTTATCTACCCGGTTTGTTCCCTCTCCTCCAGGCCTCCCACTGAGGCCTTTTCTGGCCTCTATTTAAAACTGTACCTCCTCATTCTTAATCTCAGGAAACAAACTGAGGGTTGTTGGAGTGGTGGGGGTGGGAGGGATGGGGTGGCTGGATGATAGACACTGGGGAGGGTATGTGCTATGGTGAGCGCTGTGAATTGTGCAAGACTGACAAATCACAGAGCTGTACCCCTGAAACAAATACATTATATGTTTAAAAAAAAAAAGAGGAAGAAGATAGTAGGAAGGGAAAAATGAAGGGGGGGAATTGGAGGGGGAGAGGAAACATAAGAGACTATGGACTCTGAGAAACAAACTGAGGGTTCTAGAGGGGAGGGGGTGGGAGGATAGGTTAGCCTGGTGATGGGTATTAAAGAGGGCACGTATTGAATGGAGCACTGGGTGGCTCAGTCATTGAGCGTCTGCCTTCAGCTCAAGTCATGATCCCAGGGTCCTGGGATCGAGCCTCACGTCAGGCTCCCTGCTCAGCGGAGAGTCTGCTTCTCCCTCTCCCTCTGCTGCTCCCCTTGCTTGTGCTCTCTTGCTCATGCTCTCTCTCTCAAATAAATAAAATCTTTTAAAAAAAATAAAAAAAATAAAGAGGGCACGTACTGAATGGAGCACTGGGTGTTGTACACAAACAATGAATCATGGAACACTACATCAAAAACGAATGATGTAATGTAAGGTGATTAACATAATAATATAAAATTTAAAACAAAACAAACTGTACCTCTTCTCCCTTCTGGATTTCTTCTGTAGGAATAATTAGCGCCATCGGAAATAACCGTGTGTCTTGTTCATTTACTTTTCCGGCTCCCATTTGTTTGGTTTGCTGCGAGGCCCCCAGCACCTGGAGCCCTGCCTGGGACCTACTGAATGTTTTCCCAGGTATTGTGCACTGAGGTTAGACATAGGCAGTGTGAAAGCCCAGGGGAGGAAGCCCTGACCCCAGCCAGGGGGAGGGGCAGGTGGGGGAGGGGCTGCTCCTAGAGGGGATGCTTCCCCAGTTTAACTGGTGTCACCCTTCGGCCAGACCACGCCGGCAAATCCCAGGTCAGGTGAGTCACTCAGGGCAAACCTCTCAGCCTTACAAGACCCACGTCCTGCCTCAGTTGGCCCGCCTGTGACTGTACAAGGTACAGAGGCTGCCAGTGTATGGCCCCAGGCACAGGGCACAGGCTGGGTGGATGATTCCTAACAGTGGATCAGACACCACTCCCTACAGGCACCCTGACCTTTGAATTCCTGCCCAGCCATCTGTCTCGGCTGGGCCTATGCTCCAAAATGTGCATGTGTGAATTTCTCAATCCTGGATGGCAGGCAGAAGCGTCTCAGGCAAATGTCAGCGATTTCCTGTGGGTCATGCAAAATTGCTAATGGGATACATTTTTTAAAAGACACAAAAAGTGAAAAATGAAGTATATATCAATAAACATGCAAAAAGAAGTTCAAAATCTCTACTCGTTAGGGAAATGCAAATTAAAACCAGAATGAGGTATCACCCCACACCCACTAGGATACCCTACCAAACAAAACAAAACAAGTAAGTGTGGGTGAGGATGTGGAGACACTGGAAAGCTTATGGGCTGCTGGTGGGAAGGCCAACTAGTAACTAGTACAGCCCCTGTGGAAGACGGTATGGCCGTTCCTCCAAAGCTTACAACACAGAACCACCATATATGACCCAGCAATCTTACTTCTGGGTCTACACCCATGGGAACCGAAAGCAGAATTCCAAAGATACTGTACACCCGCATTCACAGCAACATTATTCACAACCAAGCGGGCGAAGTAACCCAAGTGTTCACTGAGATCAACAAATTGTGGTCTATGCAGCCAAATGATTATTTAGCCTTAAAAAGGAAGGAAATTCTGACACATACCAAACATGAATGATCTTTGCGGGCCATAGGCTAAGTGAAATAAGCTAATCACAAAGACACATACTGTATGATTCTACTTATATGGGGTATCTAGTCAAATTCAGAGAAACAGAAAGTAGAATGGTGGTGGCCAGGGGCTGGAGGGAGGAGAGGGTGGACTGTTAGTGTTTAATGAGCAGTTTTAGTTTTGCAGGATGAAAAAGCTCGGGAATTTGGCGGTACGACAATGTAAATATACTTAACACCACTTAGAAATGGTTAAGATGGTAACTTGCATGATATGTGTATTTTATCACAATTAGAACTAAACATTTTCTTGAAAAGTGAGTACATAGCTTCAGGAGAAACAAACTCTGTGTTCTACAATAAGGCAGTTATAAAATTTTAAAAAATAAACGACATAAATTCTGTAGCTCTAGAATGTTCTTGTCACATCCCAGAGCATCATCTTGAAAGCTCCCACCTCAAAGGCCAAAGCACCCAGCAAGACTCAGTGCCCCAGCACCCCACAATCCCTCCACCAAGCCAGCCCACTCCAGCCTGAGAATTCAGAAAACACCCCTTCACCCACTTTTCTAATTGAGTTTTATTCCAGAACAAATGGTTTTACAAAAAAGCTGATTTTAAACCCAGTACATTTTCCCACTGGTAGCAGCTCCATCTTCCTTCAACCCGTAGCCCAAAGAATCGAAACTATGGCTGGGCTGGGCTGGGCTGGGAGTTTGGCACCAACTACACACTTTGAAGGACTCCAGAACAAAGTGTGGAGCCAGGCCATCAGGCGGCTCCCTGCCCTGCAGACGGGGAGGGAGCTGGGCACAGACAACTTGGAAGGAGTGTGGTTTCAGTAGTGTCTCTCGGTTCCTGGCCCTGCTGCTGGGGTCAGACTGACATAAGAACCCTTGTCATTTCCTGCACACAGAGGGAGACGCTGAGTGTAGAGGTCGCCCAGCCGCAGGGCGCAGCGAGGACCGGGCACCTCCATGCTGTGTCATCAGCCCGCCCCCACTGGAGCAGCCAAGTGAGGACAGCCTTGTCACAGTCACTCAACCCCAGGGGTGTGGTTCAGATATTACCCAGAGGAGGCTGAAACGGATCCTTGAAGAAAACACAGCATGCCAGGCACAGTGCTGAGCACTCAGCACTTGACCCCCAGGACAACCCTATGAGGTAGGCTGTAGCATCATCCCCATTTTACAGAGGAGGAAACGGGCTCAAGAGTGAGACCTTGCTCGAGGTCTCAAAGCTTTTAAGTGGCAAGCAAAGATGGGGCTCAAAGGTCGGTGTGGACCTGAGCTCTTGGTTAACCTCAATACTCCCAAACTGCCCCTTGGGAAAGAAGGAAAGAGGGGTGGCAGATGAGATCCTGACAGAGAACCTATCCAGAAAGTTGGAGAAAACCCAATGACCACAGCAACTGTGGGTCAAAGTGCCCGAGGGGACACCAGCCCGAGTGTGGACAAGGCTGCCCAGGCCTGGCCCTCGCCCCACGGACATGGTGGCCTTGCAGAGGGGTCCCAGAACTCAAACTGCTGTCTTGTTTCTCAGGCTTGTGCCTGAGTTGGGTCAAAATTAATACGCCACCCTCTCCACCCAAAGCTCATCCGCCCTCCCCCCCTCAGAACAGTGCCTGGTGAGTCCTGGTGCCACCTCCCCACGAGCCTGGGCGCTCTGCTGTCCGTCACAGCCTAGCTGGGTTCCTACTATGGCAACAGCCAGAGTTCTAGTTCAGACAGAAAGGAAGGGAATGTCCCGCAGAGTAGCCTCAACTCTACAGGTTCAGGGACATATTCATTCTGAACCTGACAACGCCTGTGGAAGAGGCAGAGGAAAGTAAGAGCGGAGAGCTTTACCCCAAGTCACGGGGCTGAGCGAACACCGCAGGGAGGAGACATCACCTGCCCGGACAGCACAGCACGGGGCTGGGGGAGGCCTGCCGGCACACGGCACACGCCCTCCTCCCGCTGCGTCCTCCAAGCTTGCCCCCCTGACATTTTCATAGGGTCTGTAAAGTGCCATTAGTAAACCACAGGGCTGGGGCGGGGGTAAGTGCCCACAACAGCCCTGGGTGGAGGGAGCCAAGAGGACAGATGGCCCCAACTCCCTGGACACCAGCAGCCGGCTGGCCGCATCCTGCCCTGCCCGGGGTGCCGTGCCCAGGGCTCTGCCGGCCCCCCCGCACCCTACTCCTCCGCTCGGAGGCCGCCTGGGGGCCTCTCCCGCCTCACTCCCTTCTGTCCCCTGCCTCCCCCATCCCCCCGCGGGCGCCCTGGGCCAGGTCCTCGGGCCAGTACTGGTCCTCCATGTACTCCTCCATGTCCGTGCTGCCGTCCGGCTCCTGGTCCTCGGGGCGGGGCGGGAGGCTGACGGCCTCCTGCTGCTCCCATTGCGCCTCCACCAGCCGGTAGAGCTCCATGGCCGTCACGGCGTCTTCCACCGACGAGTGCCCGTGCTGGCCGGCCTGCGATGACAGCCCTCATCACCGACCGCGTCCTCTTGGGACGGGGGTGGGATGGGGTGGGGGCCTGGGTGCTACTCGGGAAAGCAAGAGTTACTGGCTGCCCCTGGGGGAGGCCCCACCTCTCGGGCTGCCACAGGTGGGTTCTGCGTGATGTGCAGGGACAGAGCCCGGAACTGAGTGGGGGACAGGTCTGGAAGAGCCCGGCCCGCAAGCCTGCGGCCGGCTGTCACAATCTGCTGGGGACGAAGGACGGTGAAGAGAACACCCAGGGCTGCCCGTATGTGCGGGACACCGTGCTTTACCCAGGGAGGGGTGGGGGGTAAGAATGACAAGCAGCCTGGAGGCACAGCTGCCTGCCCTGTCCCGGGGCCCCTCGTCACTCGCACCACCTGCTCCTGTCCCACGCACCTGGATCTTCTTGTGTAGCAGCTGCAGGGCCAGGTCCTTCAGCGAGACCCGGGTGCGGGTGTGGAGGCCAGGCTGGTGGAGGAGGCTGGGCACATAAGTGGTGTCCCGGGTCTGGCTCCGAGGGTGGACGTACTTGAGGGCCTGGAAGTCATTGTGGAGCGCGTGCCCCACCACCACCTTGCCCTTCAGGAGCTTGAGGATCTGTGAGCAGACAAAGGAGAGCGGGGGAAGGCCCCACTGTCAAGGAGGCGCAGGCCACGTGCTGCTGCCCTGACCACCGGGGCGTGGATCCCTGCGAAGGGTGGCAGCATGGAGAGGGGAACCTCGAGCCCCACACTCAGCCACGCTGCCTCAAGTCCAAAGCCCGGCCCTTCGACTTGCCACGCCCCGGGGCACACGTCCGCCCTCTAAGCAGTAAAAGTGCGCTCTCCACGCGGTGGTTGGGCGCGTGCGAGGAAGTCACGCGTGGAGTAAGTCTCCCAGTGAATCAATACAAGCAACTGTGTCCTGCTGGCTCAGGCTCTCCCCTCTCAGCCTGGAAGACCTCACCACCCTCCCCCTCCCCACCCAACTCTTGCACGTCAGGAGGCCTCCCCCACCGCTGCCCCGGCAACGTGAGGACCCTGTGGTTCTCTCCCGTGGTGGAGGGGACTGGTCACATTTGCTAAGTACGCCTTTAGCGCTGGCAGTCAATCCACCGGCCCTCCATGGGAGCTCAGCTGATACACCAGGGACCGTGTTTGACTTGACGAGTGATGTTCCATGGAAGCTCAGCACACAGGAGCTGACTGAGAGACCTGCTGGCTGACGTCCACAGACCTGTGCCTGGCCCTGGAGATAAACCCACGAGCAGCAACTTTTGTGAGCATCAGCAGACAGGGCCTCCCTCCTCGGGATTCTGCCCCTCTGCCCCTCGGCCGTGCAGGACTCCACTTCCCACCCTGGAAACCGTTGCTCTCTGGCTCAGTGCTCGCCATGTGCACAATGTGCGCCTCTCTTCCCTGTCTTCCGCCCTCCTCGGGCCCCAGGCCTGCAACGCCCCCCAGCCCTCAGCTGAGCCCGGCTCTCCTTATCACCCACCACGCGCTTCTGCTGGCCAGGTCCGGCTTATCACTAAACCCAGCTTTCACAGCAGATGGAGAGGGTGCCATTTAGACTTCCGTGGTGGGAACATGCCACCACACTCCAGTCACACCGCCCCACCAGCATGCGGTGGGAAGGGACCAAGCACACTCCGCACGGGCTGAGCCTGAGCAGACAAGAAACGGTCCTGTTCCTCGAGCCCCACCAACCAGGACAGGAAGCACCAAGGAGCTAGAGGGTTTGCCGCAGGCCTCCCTTCCTGTTGCTAATATGCCTGAGCGACACGCTCGGTAAATCATCTCCAAACTTTCTGAAGGCCATGCTTAGGCCATATCTCATGTGAGAAAGGAGGACGCCAGACCACATGTACCAGTATTTCCCAAATTCACCTAAACCCAAGAATAACCCAGAAACACTAAGCAGTTCTGCTATAATGCTTATTTTGAAAATGCATGTTCCAACATGATTGCTATATTAGGACACTCTTTGAGAATAATGCAAAATTTCACCTTTACCTATGCATGATTTTGCCCTTGAGAAACATTTAAGTCAACGAAGAAAACTGCACCCGGGGGCACCTGGGTGGCTCAGCTGGTTAAGCGTCTGCCTTCGGCTCAGGTCACGATCCCAGCGTCCTGCGATCAAACCCCACGTCGGGCTCCCTGCTCAGCGGGGTCTGCTGCTCCCCCTGCTTGTGCTTTCTCCCTCCCTCTCTACCTCTCAAATAAATAAAATCTTTAAAAAAAAAAAAAAGAGGCAAGAAAGAATAAAGAAAACTGCACGCAGCTAACCTGAGGCACGTGGGAAGGCAGAAAACGCACACGCCTCCGACAGTCTGCAGGGGGCCCACGGTTCACGGGTGTGATGAGCCACCACCACGTGAACCTGACGCCACCAGGCTCATTTCCAGGAACCCCTGGGCCCTCACCACCAGCACAGAAACCGCAACCTTCCTGACACCCACTTTCACAAGCAGCCACCAGGATGTTTTCAGGTAGAGTCCCCCTTACTACTGACGCATGTCTTAACCATCTAGCCTGTGCAAAATGGGGGCTACCACTGTCGTTAGGTTTCTAGCTTTTTGTCCTGGGGGTGATTTTATTAGGAGGCATGTTGAGTGTTGTGTTCCTAATTCCATGTTCCCCATAAGCTCTGAGGTTTTCGTTGTGCAAGTTGGCACAGCATGATTTTCAGGAACACACACATCAGAGCTGTCCCCACACCCACAGGGCTATGAGATGAGAATTTCCATGCATGGATCTGGGGACAAAGAGCTGAGATTGTTAACAAGGCTTTAGGGGCTTCCTACGGTCAAGCACAACTGGGAATTCCTGGCACATTAGTGCAGTCCCAACCACTAATTTATCTTTTTCAAAACACTGAAAAACTAAGAAAATATATGGAAACATTAAGGCCTGAAGGTGACAGGATTGTGGGCCTTACAAATTCTAAACAGCTACATAGTACTTTTACAACAGAAAAGAAAATGCAGGGGTGCTTGGGTGGCTCAGTTGGTTAAGCGTCTGCCTTCGGCTCATGTCATGATCCCAGAGTCCTGGGATCGAGCCCCACATTGGGCTCCCTGCTCTGCCGCTCCCCCTGCCTGTGCTCTCTCACTCGTTCTCCCTCAAAATAAAAGAAAGAAAAGAAAATGTAACATGTGAGCGGTTCTACACCTTACAATTGGCACAGTCTGTCCACAAACATTATCACATGGGACAGCCCAACAATCCTTACATGGAGATGGGTCAGGATCTTAGGCACCCTTGTCTATGGAGAAGGAAGCCACAGTTCAGCAAATTTAAGCAACTTCCCCAAAGTCTCTCGTTTCCAGTGGCTAAGTGGTGACTCAAACCCAGGGCTGCCCTTCCCTGGCCATCACCCACCCACACAAGCCCCCACCTCCGCCCTCACCTCTTTCTGGGCCACCTGGAAGGGGATGGCCTTACGCATGTGCTGCCGAGTGACGCCACTCCAGCGGGTGCGGTAGTCCACGATGGGCATCTCGGGCCGGATGTACTTGTCATAGAGGACGTCGCCATGGTAACTCACCACAGAGCAGCGGGCCAGCTCGCTCACCCGCCCTCGGGGTCCCGTGCCCACCATCTCGCAGTCGATAGCCACGCACTTGCTGGGCCAGGGCCCCGCGGACTCCCTGGGGGTGGGCTTTCTGCTCCACGAGGCACCTCCCGATTCATTCCTTGGACGCTGCATCCCGCTGCTGGCGGCTTCAGTGCCCTGCAGGGCCACCGACGGCACGGGCGGTGGGGAGGATCGCGGCTCTGGGGGCATGCTCAGCAGGCCCTGCTCCTGCAGCAGCGCCTTCCGGGCCATGAATCGCTGGTGCTGTCGGCTCCTCCTCTTGTGCTTCCTCCGGAGCACATCCTTGGCATGCAGGCTAGCCAGGGAAGGGCACGGGCACCGCGCAGACTCAGGGCCTTCCCGGGGTACCATCCCAGTCAGCTCACCGCTCGCGGCAAATGAGGTGATCTGCCGGGGGGGGGGCGGCACTCTGCAGAGAGAACACACAGAGCAGAGGGGCTGGGTGAGAGGTGTGCCCGGACAGCCCCATCCCTGCCCCTGCCTGCAGGGCTCACAGCAGCCCTGCCCTAGAGCCCTACGCTTTAGCTCCCACACTGAGGCCAGGACCTTGCTTGTACTCAGTCAAGCCCCCGTGCAAATCACTGTTCTAAGTACTTTACATGGAATCACTAAATATTCCCAACGACCTGAACCACAGGTTAGAAAACTGAGCACAGAGGTTAAGTAACCTGCTCAGGTAGGAAGACACACAAGCTGATGTGAACCCAGAATCTACGGTCTCGGCCTCCGAGCCACTGCTTACCTCCACGAGCATCAGCATCAACAAGTTTTAGAGAGGTACAGATATGGGAAAATAAAGGCTACAGAAACATATATATATACACACAGACACACAATCTTTTTAATTTTTTTTAATTTATTTAAAAATTTTTAAATTTATTTAATTTTTAAAATTTAAGTAATCCCTACCCCCAGCGTGGGGCTCAAACTCATGACCCCAAGATCAAAAGTCGCACGCTCCTCCGACTGGGCCAGCCAGGCAACCCCATCCCAGATTTTTAAAAAACAAAGAATCCGTTGTGAAAGCACAGACCCTCAGAAACTGGAGAAAAAAATTCACGAGCCCCTCACAACAGTTGTATTTTTGGTTATGTGTTCACCAAAATAAGGTGATTTATTAAGTGATTTTCTATTTCACTCATCACAACAGTTTTCAATAGCCGGGCATGTGGCTCAGTCACCACAGCCTCCAGGCAGGGGTATGCTGGTAAACAGGCTCAGGTCACAAAAAGGAGAAACAGAAAAGGGAGTGTCTGCAGGTCCCTCCATCACTGGACACTGGAAATGTGTGAAGTTCGTGTGGGTTTGCAAATCCCACGCAACAAGGCCAGCAGCTGCCCAAGAGCGAGGGGCCGTGCTTAGAAAGCTTCACTCACGGGCGCCTGGGTGGCTCAGTCGTTAAGCGTCTGCCTGTGGCTCAGGTCATGATCCCGGAGTCCCGGGATCGAGGCCCGCATCGGGCTCCCTGCTCCACGGGAAGCCTACTTCTCCCTCTCCCACTCCCCCGGCTTGTGTTCCCTCTCTCGCTGTCTCTCTCTCTGTCAAATAAATAAAT